CCTACGCGTCTGAGCCACCTACGGAGTCAGGTTGAAGATCCGGAAGATCGAGCGAGAGAATAGAACGAGGACGGAGATGTCGGACGGCGCGATGAAATAAACAGAGACTGAAACTCGTGGACAATGCGCGAGAATGTAGGTATACGAGGCATACACTGCGAGGACACTTGTTAGACGTCGTTGTACGCGTTTGTACTCGAGTGTTCGCGGCTATTAATTACACAACATCGCGCCGAAAGAACGCGATTTTTGTCGGATTAAAAGAGAACGTGAAAGAATATATTTAGGAGGACACTAGAAGAGGATATTATTATTAATAATGCTCACAAAGCGACCGCCGAAACGCCCGTTGAGAAACGCGGCATTGAATGACGGGCCCGCGAGGAGAATTAGAGAGATTTAATTAAGTGTTAAGTCCTGCTCGACTGATGGAGAACAATGTAACGAAGAAGTCGATAAATCTTCCCTCTCTTCCCGAGTCGTGTCGCGCGTGTGTAGATTCAATTGCATTTAAATGTACCTAAAAGATGTTTCTACGAACGATACCGCACCAAGTGTGGGTGGCGAGAGAAGCACGCACATACCTCGACGTTAAAATTTCTGTACCGTTGCGCGAATGGTAGATATACAACAGGACACGTGGGAATGAGGCGCGAGTTATCGCGCACCGATGTAATAATTATCAGAGGATCGATCGCGACGCGTGACGGAAAACTTCGACCGATTATTCGCGCGCGTTTCCGGGTACTATGGTGAGATACCGCTTTCGTATTCGGCGAGAGTATGCGAGAAAGAGATTGTGCAAGATATATATACATATAAGTATGTCCCGCTTAAATGAACAGAATATCAGAAATTATTAAAGAATAATGTGATATTTTCAATTTCAATATATTAATATTTGGAGAATCAAAAGATAAAATAATAAAGAAAATCTTTTTGTATCATAATATTTGTTAGAATTTTTCTGCGAAATTGAAAATCTTGTGAAACATATTTTCTATTAATGAAATATTGTATTACAATATTTTGTAACGGTTATAAAACAAAACCGAAACGAGTATTTTTATTTTTTTCTCAGTTGACCTTTGTGTTTCTCTTATTTTCTTTAGTTCTCAACGCATGCCTTATAAATCCTGCGCAACAATTTACCGAATGAGGGAGAGAAGGCAAGAACGATGAAACGGACGCACACTTTATTTCGCGGGTTCTGCTTTTTCTGCCGTTCTTTTGCCGGTCTCCCGTTCGCCGTGCTACGCACTTTATATCCGTGCAACGGAATAAATCAGCCCAAACGACGGATAAGTATGCACCTCGCTCTTCCTCAACGCATCCCAATATATTGCCTATTCATGCGGAAACAACACAATACTCTAAGAACAAAGTATATAATCTATGCAGACGATTCGTGTGCGTGTACTACATGCGGCCAATGACGATTTTGTTCCAATTTTTTTCAATAAAACATTTATTTCTTAAAGTTAAATTTAACTTGAATCATAATTACTTTCCTGATAGTACGAAATTATATTATTATATACGTACAATATATGTAGGCATATACGCAATAGTAAAATAACAAGTGATTTGTTTTCCTTTTATTTTCACAGAGTTCACGTTTTCATAAAAAATAATGCTCCCGACAAGCAATAAGAAATGGATCAACCAATTAATCAGTGTGAGAGAATTAGGCGTGTACCATCTCTTACGAGACTATTCAATCTTCTGGCGACGCCGCCAAAGTATAATTTCAACAATAAATTTATGTTTCTTGTCGATCGTCGCGGTACGCAGCGTGGATAAAACCGACGATTTAATTCTTCCACAAGAACTTCACCGAGCCGATACAATCATCGCGGTCGATCAATCGACAAGACTTTTTCTCTTTCTCCCATTCGATCACTTTGTACTGTCGTGTATGTATGTCGTGTACGTTTATGTGTGTATCGGATCGGAATAAGAGAAAGATACAAAAACCGGCAAGATAGGTTGGTTTGGATGTAGAGTCGAATGTTGCGAGCAAATCAAGCCGAGGCATCTCTCTCCGTCTCTTTCCCACTTTCTCCCTTTATCTTTCTTGTTCTACCTGAATCGTTTCCCTTCTACAATCGATTAATCCACAGGCGCGCGATTAATCGTTTAAACGGTGCTCGATAAAGCAATTTCTAATTAGCAAGATGGGGAGGAGGCGTGATCAAATCACTCGACAAGAGAAATTCTTCGCTAGCCGGGATAGTTCTTAGAAAAGAAACGCTCGTCGCGCGACGAAGCAGAGAGAGAAAGATAGAATAAAGTTAATTAGAATAAAAAGAAACAAAAGAAGAAGACCGTATGGAAGATGGCTCGTGCTTCGCACGAAGAAGCAGCATGCAGGCGAGGATAAGACTTAAAAAAGCGAGATGTTGCAAATTGACCCATTACAACTAGCTGTGCGACCAAATCGACTCAAACCCGCACCGAGAGTCCTGCCGAGAATAGTTACGGGCTCTACGGCTCTGCGGCTCCTTCAGCAAAGTCAGCAAACACGCATAACTAGACCTAGCCGAGAACCAAAGTGCGAAAAAAACAACGATCTGCGTCGAACACAGGTGAAACATGACGAAACACGTGCGTAAGTGTAGTGTTACAAATTGAACCACGTGAGCAAAATTATATCATATATCATACAATGTATTTAACACATTTATATATCATTTTATACATTTACGATTTTTTTTCTAAATAAAAAATAATATGTGCGTTACTAAAATTTTATAATTTATAATTATTTAATCGAAAATAACAGGAAAAATATACTAGAAATTTTATATTAAAAATTCCGATATATACTATGTTTGAATATTTTAAAATGTTTACCAAACATTTGTGTTTCAAGCAATAGATTGTATGCAGCTGTGACAATAGCAGAGAAACATGAGATAGCACGAGTAAAAAATCTCATCTTTACGACGGTAAAGCGAATTTAGGAAAGAGTCGTTTCAATCGAAGAAGTTGAGTGATTTCTGGCAGCGCACAAAATCTGGAATTATGGTCTCGTCCTGGCGGTGGGTCTACTTCTACCAGGAATGATCCGAACGATCGTCGAGCGCTGCCGGTTTTCCAGCGCTAACAATAACCGGCATATGGCCGAGGCCTTTTTCAAATTTCGATCCTCGCGACTTATTGGAGTGTCACGGAGCGAAAAGAAAAAGAGCAAACGCGAAGGAGCGCGTTTTACAGAAGCGCGGCCTCCCGCGAAAGGCGTCGCCCCAAGCGAGGAAGGCGATAATGATGGACAATCCCGCTCTCCGCCTCATTCGAGGTGAAACGACGACGGTGAAAGGATGATCGAAATAAAAGCCACGGTGCGTGTAGTTACACCCCGGTTTCTTCAGATTATGGCCCTGGTCGTGGGCTTCTTAAACGGATGCTTTCCAAGACAAGTAAAAGCACAACGCGGCATTTTGTACTAATGTAATGTCGTAAAGTACACGCTAGTCTGCGGCGATATGCGCGAGCAAAGTTACACAAAATATGCCTGCAACGTCCAATTTCTTGCCCCCTCTCTACTTTAAGTGCCGAGAGTGCCTGAGAATTTATAGGCGCGCAGTAAACCGAGGAAGCTCCGATTAAAATCAAACAAACGTGACTGCCGTGGGAATTTAATACAATGTCAATGTCTTTAAACAAAGCCTACTCCTGTTACTAAATTTTGCAATTAAGAAAATTAAATTTTGTATGCAAACGATTTCAAGTATCAAATTGTGTCTGCAAATCAAAGATATGCGTATAAAAAAAAGAAGCAAATTACAAACGAATACATTTGAAATCATTAAAATGATTATATGTAACCGGAAATACTTAAATATATATATATATATATATAAATTAAAAATTTCAACTAACTTATAGAATTAGAAAGAAATAAAATCGCCGACGCGCGTAATTCTAAAAATTACACATTGTGCTCTACAATATAATGCATGCATATCGCATGTGTAGCGTACATTAACATTATACAACATATAATACATCGCATAAAATAGTACCAGGAAGCGTGTAACGATCAGTAACGAAGAACCACCTGCGGAAGGTGGATTCGTTCACATTTCTTTAACGGGAAAAGACTTGCGCCAGCACCAGCAGACGAAGGAGAGGGAGAAAGTAGCGGGGGAACGAAGAAGCAGACCAAGTAGGTGGGGTCGCCATGGTTGTAGTCCGCCTGGGAAAAAGAGGACCACGCATTGTGATCCGGGGAGCGAGAAGGCCACGCTAGGCTGACCCCTAGGCTTTACATTAACCGTCCACCGTGTACACACGCACGTAAATGAACGGCCACCCCTGGCCCGAGTGGTACCTGTTGCACCGAGTAATCATTCCCTTGCAAGAAACTCCCCTTTGTCTTCCTCTTTCTCGCGTTCTTGGGACAAGGTTGCGCAACGAACTCGGAGAGCATTTTTGAGGTAAACAGAGTGGAACGTGCAAGAATCTCCGAAAAGACGCTCCCAAATCCGGCGACGAGTTATCGGGACACACCGCAATTAGTCGCTCCAACACTATTGTTCCATGGAATGTCGCACGACACTTGTGCGAACCAACGTCGTAAGGATGGATCTCGTCGTTCCGTGAGAAAAGTTTTCGGAATGGTTTTTCACGGATATCGCGGAATTTGGGGTTTCGATAACAGAGAAAGAACCAAAATTATTCATGTACTCTCCGGAAGTAAGAAACAAAAGGGAGAAAGAGAAATCAGATACCAAATTACGCTTCCATATATGTGACTGGAAAGTTACAATTCTTGAGAAATATTTGAGGCGCGTGGATTCTTCTATTATTTTTGTTACCTTGACGAGACAATTGCGACGCGGAGAAGAGCGAGGTCGAAAAAAAGAGAATAAAATACGTGAAAAGATCGTACGTGTTGATATGAAAAAGTTTCGTCTTTCACGGAATTGGGAGTACGTAGTGCGGCGAGATTTCACAGCGCGATATAAAGTAAAAAAAGTTGGTGCGATACTCACCTTCGGGACAGATGCACTCGTAGTCATGTTCACCGATTTGATGACAGGAGCCTCCGTTTTCACATGGTGACGGGTCGCAAGGAATGTATTCATTCTCGCAATTTTGCCCGGTGTATCCGTTTGAACACATGCATCTGTAAGAGAGATAGTATAAAGTATATATTTTAAATATCATAAAAATATAATAAAATTTTTAAAATCTTAAATCACTACAATATTTGAATAAAAAATTTTTTAAACAGTAATTAATCTTGTTTATCAACTATATAATGCGTAAATCAGCACACTACGTGCGTGATATATTGCTTTCCCATGTAGTACGAGAAATATGTAAAACGATCTAACAATGAAAAACAATTTCATTAATTTCATTAATTTTGATATCGATAATCAAAAGAATATGGTACCAAACTCACATTAATAGTTATCATTCTTCGAAACAACTTTCAAAATTCGAAAAGTTCAACATTATTTTATTAAATGTTTGATTATATATCAATAATTTTGATATAAGTTATTGAAAATAACATATTTAAAAAAAATTATTTTTATGTAAAAGTGTTAATAAATATACCAAGTTACACGATAATCATTTTTACAAATGTTTCTATACACTTATTATTCCAACATGATATTTATGCCATGTGATAATTATTCATATAAATTATTTTCTATTTACTAACTTAATTATTTCGTAACTATATAAAGTTATATGAGTAATTTATATGGGTAAAATATTTATATTTTTAGTTTATATATATATATATATATACACTAAAAAAAAAAATATATATATATAGGTAGATGAGTCACATTATAAATACTTGCAACCTATGTGCATTTGTTTCTAAATGATTTATCATTCGTGTCAATCAGTGCCGGTTTTAGAGAATTTTAGTTCGCCCCTAGGCAATATTTCAGTATTACTTATGCAAATTATTTTCGTGGCAAACCCAATCTAACCCTAAAATTCAAAGAAAGCACGCATCAGCAACTAATTATTTTATTTAAAACACTAATAAACTCTTTACGTTTATTTAAATATTTGTAATTAAATTTGGAAATTATTTTTACTTTACTTGTCACTTTCAACATGTGTTTTTTCGACGATTTTTGTAAAAACTGTTTGATCAATTCCCACATAAAAAAAACTTGTTTCATTTCGCAATTGTTTAAATCGTTCATTGTTTTTAGCAACGGATGGGCGCCCCCTTCTCTCGTGGAGCCCCTAAGCAATTGCCTATGATGCCTAGTGATAAAACCGGCACTGGTGTAAATCGTAATATTTATCAAAGACAAATATTATCAATAAAATCAATAAAAGTGTAATTTTATTTTATTTTACACTCAAAAATTAAAAAATAGCAAAAACGAATATTTTTATTGCTCCCGAACGCACCTTGAGCTCGCGACGAACAGAAGTAGCAGAAACACGCGTGTGACGTTCATTTTTGTTCGTAATCGAGATCCATGGACTATCGCAGTAATGGAATGTAATCCTCATATTTCGACGAAGAGCCCGGGACGTAAATGTTTACTCCATTTTCCGAGAACAAAACCACTGACGGTCTGAACTCTCGTGCCCACCCTCTCTTTTCCTCGTTTCTCACGGAAAAATTGAACACATTCACGGTACAACACCTCACACTGATATCCTCACGATTTTTATTATGTATAACCTTCACTATCGCACCTGCCTGTAAGCCACACGAGAGCGTAATCCAACTCAGAGATTGTAATGTAAATACAAACACAAAAATTCATAAAATAATCCCATGAACACACACAGTGGAATATCGATAATCACCGCGATAAGAAAGTAATCCAGTGATGATACTTCAGTATCGGCGATGACAATAGTTGCAAAAATTATCAAAACTTATTGTGCGACTGAGCAAATCGTATCACTTCCACAGCGGTTAATATATCTTCATTTATCCTTCCGGCGCGTGGTAATTCTTGACAACGTTCCAGGAGATATCACCGTGGCGATTTCGAAGCATAGATTTCCCTTCTTTCACGGCACGACGCCAGCAAACCGTTGGGCGTTCTCCTTTTCATCGTTTTCACGCTATCTCATCTTACATTGATAGGTTAGAAAACCCTCCGCTCCAAATTTTACCATAACCAATGTCCTTTTCCGAATATCATGAAGATTGAAGACAAATCAAAACGCAGTCTTAAATATGGCGATTTGCGATGGATAACAGACGATCTCTTTGAATATATCCGATACTTTCAACTTATTTGAAAATGGAAGTCTCAGTACTATCTGACAGACCAGATTATGTGCCACATACATACGTTTTTGTCTTCTCGCAAGTTCTCCAACCGTTTTCAAACTTTTGCAAAATATATAATGTAATGTATCATGTAATGTAATATAATGGCTGCAATTTGCGTTTTTAAACTCTTTTAAATTCGTGCAAATGATCTGTATTCAATGTTGCGTTTGGATAACTCGCGGAATGAGCGGTAGGACGGATACGGAGCGTTGTCGAAATCAAGCCATATGTCAAACTAAAACATTCATTGCGGTACTGTAGTTTCCAGTCTGACTTTTATAATAAAAATTTATATTTTCATAAAGTAAAGTTTCTCGTTTTGCTTTTCTCCAAATTGCTTGCTGATTGTTCGATTGTCGCTGAATTTGAACACACTGAACACGGAAAACAAACGCGAAAATTCCGACTCGATCTCGCGAAGTCAATTCACATCGGCTTGTGATCACTCACTCACTCGTTTTAACCCGACCACCTGTTTCTCACGCGTATACCGAACGGTCGAGTCTTTCGCGCGAAAGAGACACGAACGCGAAATATACCTCACCCTTACACGAATGGCGACTGACTAACCTTACTTTCCACGGAGTACCGCTCAGAGGGCATCAGTGTCGCGCGCGTTCGACCCCTCCGTGCGCTCGCCCCCCATCGACAGCCGCACGCGCTTTCTCTTTCTCTTCACCGCCGTTTCGTATCAGATACTCTGTCTTTCCTCTTCTGCTCGCGCTTGCTCGCCGCAGACGAGAATTCCCTTCGCTCTACCTCATTGGCATTCGATCGTGACAAACGCTATCGTCTCACTGCTTTAGGGCAGTAGCTTTGCGCAAGAATGTCTCTCTCTTTCTTTCTTTTTCTTTCTTACAATGGGTCCATTTAAATCTAGAGTCGATTAAACTGCTTTTAGTACAATTGACAAAGGCATTTTTACTAAAAATTCCTTAATTACAAACAATATAATAAAAAATAAATTGCAATACCTTTTCTTATAAGCAAAGCTAATATCAAATATAATTAAAAAATTGAATTTTAAAATAAATACAGAAAATTGCCTAATTTCCCTATTTTCATTAATTTTTTGTTTTTATAATCTTTATGGATAATTTTATATTTAAATTACATTTGTATTCATATGTTAACACAAGAGTTTATTTTTCGTCAAATGTTATAAAGTTAAAATTAAATAAAGTTGAAAAATTGCATTCTTGTTACAAGCGTTCATAATGCTCTCCGGAGCACAAAATATTAAGTAAGCAAAAAAGTTCTTGCCGTTTTTCGATAATCATATTTCTCGAAATTGTTTAAGAACTGATATAAATGCAAGCTGATGGTTTCATTGCTTATATTGAATGCAATTGCAAATTCTTGGCATGTTAATTTTGAATTTGCTTCGATTGTCTCGATTTCAATTTGTCATTATTCAGAGATGTCGATCTCCCTGATCGGGAAGCATCTTTCAGGGATTCCCTCAGTGGCGGATTAACGCAAACAAGGCTCCTGCCTAGGGGCGGCAAAATGTTTAATCCGTCACTGGATTCCCTGATACAAATTTTTATCCCTTGATACAAATTAAAACCAATGCCGAGCGATTCTTTTCTTTACTGCATTCTCTTTAAATGCAAAACAAATTTTTTGACAAGTTTATAACACTTTAGATCAAAGTTTAAACTCGTACAATAAACAAGCACGAATCACGCTTACTTAAACAAATATTTTAATAATAATTGAAAGGTTAAAATATTTAACTTAAACTTTACAACTTGAAATGTAATAACTAAATGAAATGAGGATTGTATTTTACAATGAAAAAAAATTCCCTGCACTAGTTATGATTGACATAAACAATTCCGAGAATTATAACTAACGAAAAACGGCAAGAACTTTTTTGGTTACCTAATATATAATAAATGTTTAAAATATTATATCAATTTTCCTACATTATTTTCTAAAATATAACATTTTAAATAATGTAGGAAAATTGATTGACCAGTACTAACCCTAAGATAAAAAGTGTTAAAGTATCCAAGTCATTATGCCTTAATCGTTATTTTTGTGTCCAGAATATGCTTCGCCGTGCACAGAATGCCGCGTTTGCACGGCGACAATGTAAATATGTAAATCCGTCAAATGACGGACATGTTCGGGATCCCATGCATATTTGAAGAGGACCGGGCACGTCAGAAGCAAAAATAATGACTTGTGTGAAGGTGTTTGCACGATGTACGAAATCTTCCAAAATTTTCAAAACGATACAATACGACATGAAAGTTTAAAGACTCACTTTTAAGAACTTGTACGACTCAGAGTTTAAGAAAGCTCACTTTCAACGATCAGATCGATCACAAAAGAATGTGGTAATTTTCACTAACAAACTGCCATATAATAAGCATAACAAAAAAATATTACACATTGTTCGGTTAACCTCTATTCAACGGTGGTCGACTTTAAAATTTAATTTTCGCTTGTTTACCCACGTTGCATTCCGAATGGAAAGAACTGCGGGCAGAAAGATGTCCCGCGGGGCATGCTTTCCGAGTGCGGTGGGATAATTCACATTTTCTCGTCCCCCGCAAAACGCTCGACCGACCCTCCTTCCCTAATGTCCCGGGGTCCGGACCCGTTTTACACGTTACAACACCGACGGGTCTCCCTAGCCTAATCCATTATTCCACGTGACTGACCGCCAATCATTTCCGATACATTCGATTTTCGAGAGGCCGCTCAATCGTATGTAGATTATCTCTTTCGTGGCTACGACGACGGCACCCTCAATGGTCCATCGAGAATGTTAGCTTCGTTCCACTTGCATTATGGAAAACAAGATTGCAAGAACGAACAATGCAAGTACTGGAGTT